GAATTTAGGAATCAGGTATTTAATTGAGTCAATTAAGGGTTTAGTTGAGATGGCTAAGCGCTTGAATCAGATAATTAGTCAATTAAGTGTTTGAGTCAATTAACTTTTTTGATTTTTAGAAACAATTTTAACTAATTTTGGCGCAAAGAACAACCCATTTTACTATTTTGTTTATAAATTTAAAAAGTTATTCGAGGGAGATAAAAAATATAGAGACCACTGATTATATATTTAACTGCCCTCGTAAATAAATTGTTTATTTACTTTGTGGCCGCAATCCTAGTATTTTCGTGCGCTTGGCTTTTATTACTTATTATTCACTCAATTTGTATTATAATCTACAACTCTTTCATACAAAAGCACACTATCATACATATCTACATACATAATAAATGAGCTAATCAGCTCAAGCCATTAAATTGACATTTTCGGCTTAGTAGCACAAAATTTGTAGCGTTTTGTGTAGGCGACTTAAGAATTGGTCTGTTATTACCCTATTAAGAAGATGAGCTTTTGCATAGAAGTGCCTATGGAAGCAAAAGTTTTTGAATGAATGATTGTCTCATTTTGCAAATTTCCTTTCAGAAGGGATAATAGGTATTATGCGCATATACCTAGATACAAATAATAATACAATACAAATTAAAAGTATATTTTTCTAAATGTCTTGGCATATATTGTATTGTATATAAAATCAAATCTTCGCAGAAGTTTCCATAGTTGTGGATTACAACCAAATAGTATCTTATATCGTTGCGCGTTGTCTATCCCTTAATTATAAGTTGAAACATACAGATCACTGCAGAGAATTTTAAGCAGAATTATCGTAGGAGCGCTCTCAGTTAGGTTAGTATCTTATAAGATATGTGTATAAAGATCATTGGTAATGCTCGTACAAGGCTTGTCGATTTTAGATAACGATAAGAGTGATTAAACTCATCACTTCCCACTTCATCGAACTGTTATTTTGAAAACGTTAATCTCTTCTACTTATGCTTTATATTCACCAGATGCTTTTGGCGCTTGGCATCGATCGTTGTAGGACTTTTCTGCTTCGTCACCATTATTCTTATCAGGGTTTAGACATTTCCATTAGCCGTTGAAGTGAGCAATTTGGTTAAAACTGATTTATTGAAGTCAGATCTTCCTATTTGAGTATTATGTGCAAAACTTTATTTGAAGGTATTAAATTTTGTACCAAAACGAGGTTAATTTCGAGTTCTTAGAAAACACAAAGTTATTTCTTCGAGTATTGCTAAGCTTACAGAGGTAATCATTTCGTCTATGGTTACCGCCTTTGAAGTTCTTTGGTAAAAACTTGAAATTTATGGAAAAACCAATGAACTTGACTTTGCCTACACATTATTGTTACTAAATGAAAATTTCTCTGTTTAGCTCGATATGAGCTAACCTATATGGAGTGATCCTTAAAATTTTGTTTTGGTCAGGGTTTCTCATTTAACGTTTCAAGTGATCATCTCTATATATTTCTTCACACTTTCATCTCAAGCTTTCAAGTATTAGAAAATTAGACAAAAAGTAAATCAAGCCGAAAGAGGTCGATCAAACCAGATTGGCTGAATCTTAATGATCGCATTTTACTACAAATATTATAAACATAAAGACATGCATACATAAGTACATACAAATATATAATATATATACCATATACATATAAATACATAAATACCTTACTCAGTACATGAAAAATCTCGTTTAGTCGGCGCTGATTAAAGTAAATGGAAACAATAAGGTTGATGATTAAATTATCACACCACTATGCCACCGAGACAAGCAAGCGCATACGTGCGGCAACAACAAATGCAACAAAAAAAGACAGCACATTGACACAATTGTGTAGCACAATAAATGCCAGTTGATAATATTATTAGCATCCACTGCAAAAAAGTACAATAAAGTGTAAAAGTAAATACAACGAAAATCACAAACGTGAAAATGAAAATGAAAAAAGCAAAAACAACGTTTTCAACAGTGATAACAACAATGAGAGTGCAGAAAATAGTAAATAATACTACTGATAAATTATTATTTTTTTTTTGCTTAAATGGAGATCAAAAATGCAGATATAAAATAAAGACAACAACAATTCGGAATGGCTTATCAGAGAAAGAAAATGAAATAGCACGAGGATGGAGCGATAATTCGGCGGCCGTTTCCTTTTTGAAAGAAACAACAAATAAAACTTTGCTTTAAAATAGTTTATTTTTAATTAAAAGTAGATCAGGTTCATCTCTGATTAATCTCTGTACAGAAGATTTATGAAACGATTCGAGACATGCGGCATTTCTTCTAATAACAAATAGTTCCCAGCTTATCGCTATAGTGAAGATTTATGAAGCAATTCGAGGCATGACTCATGTAAGACTGGATTTTATAGATGAGTTCGAGTAAAGTTTTAGCAACAGTCTAGTCTAATGCCAAAGTCTCACAAGTTTTAGGTCACCACCAAACCGTTTATGGATTATGCCAAAAGCTTTTTCAAATATATCAGATTTAGCTTAAAGGATTTTTATTTATTGTTTAATCGTCTCAGATAATCAACCCCTCCTAAAGCCTTACATGATATTGTATTCGTTTGACATTTATTTTTTCTTTGTCACATGACTGCCACTAGTTGATCAGTAACACTACCCCACACAGAGTAGCTGCTGCAAGTGTAAACACATATACCATACAGATATATTATATATAGTACATACTAGATATACAGATTTTGAATCTTTTGTAACAAAATCATAATAACAATTTTTTTATTTTCTATTATTTGCAATTTGATTATATTTTGCGTTTATATTGTGTTAGCTTTGTTGTTGATTTGCGTGCATTTGAAGACACCTTTTTAAGATCTTACATTCTCTAAAAACATTTAGTTCTATGCTCCTTAAGTAAGTCATCAATTACTTTAAGTGTTCTTAATTGTGCAATAAAAGCTTATTCTGATTCTTAATTTTGTTATATTTTGTGGGATTTCATAACTCAAATAGCCTTCAGAAAATTAAATAGTATAGAAATTCTTTGGAAATAAACTGATTAGCTTTTGTGTAGCAATTTTCAAAATATTTGGTTCCCCCAACAGTCAAAATTAGAGTTATAATGTTAGAGCGAAATATGACAAAGAATCGACTTGTTCTATTTACATACTCGTATGTTATAAGAAGTATAATAATTGCACCGTGTTTTCCGCCTCTTTCTCCAAAGCCGCAGGGAGAATTGACTCAGTAAAAAATCGAAAACTGTACCGAAGATAGAAAAAGACTTTTATTATCAGCCATCAAAACCATTATAAACTGTGGTGGTTGAACTCAGAAAATTTTGTCAGACGCTTCTATAGATGATCGATTTGAAGAAAAATGTAGAACTTCCATTTTTCTGCAAATCGACATACCTGCTCATTCACTATACTTCTTTTGCTATAATATTATCTACATTTTTCTCAAAATATCCTCAAAAATCTACGTATTTCTCTTACAACACGATACATCGCATTGTTCCACTAATATAAACTAACTTCAAGCTTTTTGGAAGACAGCGCAATTTACTATAGAGCTTTGTCACAGTTGATCAAAAGAAAGTTCATTTCAGTTCAAGGGAATTTTGGGAGCCAGAAACATACATATGGTATATACATAAAATAAATAAGTATGGCGACTGCTAAGCATGAGTTGGAATTTGGAATTAAATACGTAATTTAATTTAATAAAACATTATATATATTTTTAAGTTAACTTAAATAGATTTTTTTTCAAAGAAAGCATTCATACATAGAAGTATATTGAGTTAATTTCATATAAACGAAGATATCGTATATTTTGCTTTTTATTCAAAATTTATGTATAGTAAATTTGGAGAAATGCAAAAGGTTATTTGAAAAAAAAAATCCGTTGTCTTCCATTACCAATTCCTTCGCATTGTTTTCAATTTGTAGTTGACAAACCGCCCTTGCTTCTAAATAACATGTGGCCTTTGTCTTGCATCTTAACAATTAAAACAATTACGTTTCCCTTTTATCTTATCAGTCAACAAACAACGCCTTGACAACGCCGCTTAAATAACTGTTTCTTAACTGTTTCATAACTGGTATATATGTAGTATAATGCGAATCTTTGCAACTTCATGACCAAAATAATTTTTGCGATCAAACAGATAAACGCAACCACAGGAATTTTGTTTAAAATTTCTTGAAACTATAATAATGTTTTGTTTTACTCGAACAAGGTCGTCTTTTGTCCCTCTTTCCAGCTCTCTCTCACAATCTTCCTCTCGCAAAAACATTTCGGTTATCAAAATTCGCTCAGCCTGGTCATTTGATTTAAGTACTAGATTTTTGGCTCTCGAATTTAAGAATAAATTTGGTACATCTGCTGCTAAAAATTTTCTAGCTGAAAAAAATTTTATTAAACTTTGAGGATCATCACAACAGATATACAAAATTTTAAGAAAGACATTTTAATATACAAATGCATGTTCTTCTTCATATGTATGGTACTTATATATATTATCGGGGAGTATCAAACTCTGTTTGCTAGACTTATAAATCGAAAATTAAAAACAAAAAAATATATGCCTATAATGGTATGCTGCGCTAGATATTACGCGCCATGACTTGTTTGGGTTTGCTTATATTGTACAATGTGGGTGATCCTTGGGCGTGCAGCGGTAACCACGCCTTAGTCCTTAACTCAGCTCCTGTGGAGTCACTCCAAAATATTTCAACCACAACAGAATAAAGGATTCTTTACATTCATCGTACACCGATTATTAACTTATTTCTCATATTGCGACCTCCTCTAGTTTCTTTCACAAATTAAGGCGAGGTCTCTGAAGTTCAAGATTCGAACCTACTTTTAAGAGAACTGTACCTTACTTTTACTGCTGATATCTTTTAGAAACATTTTGTCTATTTTGTTGCATTTCATATTTCTACTTATAGATATTTTCAAATTATAATTGAATAATTTTTTCTTTCAACTGAATTAATATACATGCGCCAGATATTATGTATATCAGCGGGTTTTGGGGGCTGAGTGGCAAGTTATCCTTCGTCGTATACAAGTTTAACTGCTATTTTGCAGACTTTATGTATTAAATTGCTTGCGTCTTGCATAATTGTCTACAGCTCATGCGCAGCGAATAACAAATTTTTATAGCTGAGGCTTAAGTAATTGCCGGTGATGAAGGAAAGGTGTTTTAACGTGGGAGCAAAAAAAGCCACCATAGAGTTTGCAAGTGCCATTTGCATATAAATTTGAAAAATTTGCTCGTATTTTCACATTTTTTTTCAAATGTACGATATGATCTGAGACAGTTATGCAGTACATTAATGTTTCCAACTATTGGCGTGATGCTCTTACGCGTCGTGCAATAGTGTAGAAATTTAGTTAAAAGGAAAAATTATTAAGACAATATAATAATTTTTTAAGCAGAGTTCGATAGGTTGGAAATATTTCGTATTATATATTATTTTGGTACAAAATCCACGTGGTTTCTTTAGAGTTTAATAATAATATGCAATCAAACTATTTTCCCACTTTTTATTACTTTTAAATAGAGTTTCTAAAACGAGTTAAGAGCAGACAGCACCATTTAATTCAAATTTTAAATCAGCAAAACACTAATTGGAGTTTGGAACGAGGCAATTTTGGAAGAAGGTTGAATTTAGAGTTTATGCTAAATAAGAGAGCCAGACCCGAATGACTTCTTCAGCGAACACTTCCAATTAAATTGGTCTTTCTAAGGCATATTCTCACGTAGTGGTCCTTGGTTTCAGCTCTCTTTAGGTTCCACATTATATAGAGTCTAAAGAACGTGGCTTATATGACTGCATTTTCTTAGTAGCTGTGAAAGTCAAAAAAAATACTGCCCTATCTCCCCACACACTTATTTTATATATACATATACCTATCTACAAAATTACAAAAATAAAACTCATGTGTGCATAACTGTTCTTTGCGATTTGCATTCCTTCTTATCAAATTCTAAAAATAAATGCACAAAATGCATTCATTCAATATACATAATACTTATAAATTATCTAATATGAATTAAACTGTGCTTGTAATTTATGCGCTGATAAGCTGACACTTCGTATTGATTGAATAATTAGCGTTCAATTGCTCATAAACTAATTGAGATTACAGAGTAGGCACAAAATGTTGTAAATAAACAAAGTGCGAGCACTCTTATAGTAAGTAGTAGGCTACCGCTGAAAGAGATAACGAAGCATTGATAAGCCTAGCATACTCAGATGTTTTGGGGATATATATATATGGTTGAATAGTATTAAATATATTATTTTTAGATTCCAGTGCAATCAAACTTTACGGTTTTAGCGGCGTATAGACCAAAATAAACCAAGAGCTCAAGTGAGTCAAGGTCACACATTATATGCAATAAGGCATGTTATAGTTTCTGATAATAGTAATATAGGAACCCAATCTGACACAGAATATGTGGCTTTAGAAGTCTCCTCCTCTCTACTAAACCGCGCTTGGCATACCAATTTTTGGTAAACGCGCCCAAAACGCACACATTTGCAAAACAAATCAAAAGATTAAATAATTTTTTTTCTCTGCAAATTTCTGCCAAAAATAATTACAAATCGGCTGAGCCTGAAGTTGCATTGGAGCGGCTCGTGCGCGAATGAGTGAGTGCGGCGGTGAGTGAGTGTGTGAGCAAACGTGTTTAAGAGCTATGAGTGTTTTGTATTTTATTGCTTGTTGTTCCGGTGTGTCTTATTATGTGTTTACTCTATTTCATATATATTTCTTTTTTTTCGCTTTGCTTTTTTAGCGCTGCCGCCGAACTCCGGCATTTTTATGAGTTGTTAAAGCATGGAAATATCTACCCAGCCAGACATATTTTGATGTTGTTACTAATTTTGTTGTTGTAGCTATTGCTAACATTTCGCTAAACACCACATTCTGTTTGGTGTATCGTTATACCACCAACCATTGACGACGAGCGTGCGGAGCAACCAGGCCAGCTGTGTAGATATGCATTGCCGAACACTCGCATGTTTGTAGGTCGTTACGCGCTTGCCAGCAGACGATAGTGTGTTTTTCCAGTTTCCTTTTAGTATGAGTTGTGCGCGCAAATTGTGTGGACGTTTGGAAACGGTAAAAGTGAAGTTTGCAATTTGAGAATTTTTTTTTTAGAAATTTTTCTAAATAATAATTTTTTTTGCTTAGCAAATGAGTAATAATTTTTTACATAGAATTAGAAAAGAATTAGTATAATAAAGTCTATTTATAAGCCAGTGTGCGCTTAGACTTTAGCTTTGAGCTCAAAAGCGGCGCGACCACGTGTACAGCAAACTGAGTGAAGTGAGCGAAGTTAGTGCGAAATATTATATGCAAAAGTGGAATAAAAAGTATAAAAAAACAAATCCCCTGTAAAAGGCATGTGCGCGTTTCAAAAGAAAATTACTTGCTGAAAAGTAAAACAAAAAAAAACAAAAAACTATAATACAAAAAAAAACCATAAAAAAAAATAAAGTTAAAAAAAATTACCATTTAAAACAAATATTAAAATTAAAAAACAAAAATGCTGAAAAAAATAAAGCGATGTAAAATTTTATCAACAAAATAAAAAAATTTAACAACATTTAAAAAAAAAAAATAAAGTGGCGATAATTTTTATAAATAAAAAAAAACTCCGCAAAACCACACAGCTAAAGTGTTTCATTCGTTTCTGAAATTCGCATGCCAAGCACGCCTTTTACGCATTTATTTTAATTTTTTTACCAAGCCCCGCTCACAAATAATATTTTTCATCACTCAGCAAGCATTTTAAACGCTTAGTGAGCGCTACAACTTATTTACATACACTGAAACATTGAAAAAAGTAACAACTTTCATATACAAAATGCAAATTTTGCCAACGTTGACAAACTGATAACGAACAGAGGTGCGCGCGTAAGCGAGTCAATACGCCACGCTGCTGTGTAATGAACCCAAGAGGAAATAAAAAGTGATATGTGCTAAAACATAGTGTGAAAATAAGCAGAAACTTATATTTGAACTAGTAATTTACTAGACACCAGCAAAACAGGAAACATTTAACGGTAAAACACAACAAACAGCTGTTGAAAACAGAGAGCGAGTGAGTGAAAGCGCGCGGCAGAGTAAGCATTTGAGCATTTTATAGCACACAGCGCGTGGCGGCTGATGCAATAGCGCGACCAAATTGCCGGTAAAAGAAAAGTGACAACAAAAACGAAAAAGTCAAAATATAAGAGATAAAGTAACATAAATCAACTAAGAAAACAAGAAATCTGCTTAAGAAAACCGCAAGCACACGCATGCGCTCAAAAACACGAAAGCACCCTTACACAGAGCGCACGAGCAACCCTTAAAGACGCCTTCAAAATTAAGACAATACAAACAAAACCTACGCACAACTCAACCTACCTCGTATAGCACTTTAATCTACTCTCTCACACAGCGTCAATTAACTCAAATTGAGTTTAACCTATTTTCTATATATACAAAAAAAAAACCATCAACAAACAACAAATTTCACACAATGACACGCATACAGGCCAGTGATAATATCGTACCTCGTCACATCTTCGATACACCTGTCAATTCGACTGCCGATATAACCGGTAGCGCACTACACAATCACTCAGCGGACAGCTCCAGTCAAGGATCGGGTGTTAAGCTTAAAAAGCAAATCGGTTTGCTCGATGGTGTTGCCATAATTGTGGGCGTTATTGTTGGCGCCGGCATTTTTGTCAGTCCCAAAGGGGTGCTCATCTACTCCGGTTCGATTGGACAGTCGCTGATCGTTTGGATATTGTGCGGCGCATTGAGCATGGTTGGTGCGCTCTGCTATGCAGAATTGGGTGAGTAATGAAATGCAGATATGCTTGTATATTCTTTCTGTATCTCGTCTATACCAATATTTATGTAAGTACCTGCTTTTCTAGCCCATAAAGTTTGTCCACATTCTAGTTAGCATAGTGGTTTTGTCGTGATCAAATGGCGCTTGAGCAAATCTCGTGCCATTGAACTTGTGAAAGGCCATTAATTTGCAGAAAATTACGACTCTAAGTTGTCGCTTGAATAGCATGCTAATTTGGAAGACAAATATTTGTTAACGTAAAATATTGAGTAATTTGTTGGACATTAGTACTTAGTACAAGCGTTTTATTGATGAATGCAATGTTGTCTACTTCAGTAAAGAAACAAATGAGTAGCTTTGATTTTTAATAAAGGAGCTTTTGAGTTTTGTATAAATTTTCCAAAAACCATTTTTTTTCATAGTCAAATATTTATATTCCTCATATTTTGTAAATAAAATGCTTTATTTTTTGTAAACGAGTGACAAAAGAACGCTCAACTCGGTTAAAATGTCCCTCAAATCAAATATATGCTTCATGACTTTGAGAAAAAATCCTTGTTTCTTCTTAGCGTATGGCAAATGAACGCACAACTTGGATAAAATTTTCCTGAAGATTGTCAAAAATAAGCCAGCTTAAAAATATACGTCCAATTTTTTTCACTTTTGTTGTTATAATTATAGATTTTGCGTGTAGCAATTTGAAAATTATATAATATTTTACCGAATTTGAACTGGCTTATATTTATTTTTGATTTCAACGAGTGTTCTTTTGTCGCTCGCTTACACAATAACGCAGTTATGACAAAATATCCCTGCCAACCTTTTCACAACCAAACTAACCTCTAAATTTTTGTAATCAAAAATATACTTCATGTTTTATAGACTAAAAAATTGGTTTTTTGTAAGCGTGCTCGGCAAACATTTCAATAAAGCTTGTCGAAAGAATCTGAGCTCTCAAATATATGCTAAATTTGTATTGTTGTTGCCATTATTAAAGATTATACTTGCGGTTATTTGAAAATTATAAAATATTTTATCGCATTTAAAGTAGCTTTTATCGAATTCAAGTAAAAAATTCTCGGTAATACCCACGAATTTTGAGATCAGCTGCTGATTTATGGTTCTTTCCTTAAAAATTATTTACTCAAATATATTGCTGTCTATAACACCAAATCCACCAATCAAAAATTAAATGATCAAAATATTCTCACACTCAATTAATTCCAAAACAATATAATAAATTTTTACAGCTGTTAATACTCTCATCGCCACTTATGCATATTTATACAGATGTTTTTCGAAAAAAAAATTATCTTCTTCTGAACAAGTGTAATAAACCTACATTTTTACTAAAGCTTTGTAAGAAACTCAAGGTTTAATATGTTATTGAACAAGTCGATATATTCGAATTTAGTCGTCTAGCACACATTACTTTTGAGTGCGCAGTCGTAAGAAGCACGCTTACGATAATTTTCAAATACTTGTATTAGGGTGGGGGGAATACTTATAATTTTTTGTTTAAAATTTTTAATTTTATTGACTTCAACTACAATATTAAAAAAAAAATTCTTTCGTGCGTTTCAAGGATCTGTAGCTGTATATTCTGATTTAAGGGGCACAACTAGTGTGACAGCCTAAAAATAGGCAATTTGTTGGGAGTTAAAAAAAACTATTTAAAAAATTGTTTTAAAATTTTAAGGGTATATTTATACATATTTTAAGAATACCCAGTCAAATTTTTGCAGAAAAAAAAATTAAAAATTTTTCGAGTTACGATCTTCAATGGCTCTAAAAAAATGTTCCACCACTGCTGCAGTGATTCCGACCCTCTCAGTGGACAAAAAAAATCATCTACTAAAATATATTGTTAGTTCTCTGTTCCTAGCAGTTTTTTGATCTGAGCAAAAAATGGCATGTCAAAATCGAGCAAATATTGAGTAAAAATCAACATCGCCTGTTTGTTAGTTTTAGAGTTCTTTTTCGACTACTAACAAACAGGCGATGTTGATTTTTACTCAATATTTTGCTCGATTTTGACATGCTATTTTTTGCTCAGATCAAAAAACTGCTAGGAACAGAGAACTATGTACTAAATATGTAGAAAAATCTGTTGATGGTTGGTTCATTCATTCAAGCAAATTTGAAACATGTTTTTTTGCAAAAAAAGCGCTTGAAGCTGAACTGATGGAGCTGATTAAACTGTAGAGCTATACTTTAGAAAGCTGTAACTCAAAAACTATTCGAGATATCGTTTTAAAATTTTAGTATATACTTAAGGTATAGACTATCAAATTTTACACTAGGTGTGCCCCTTAATGTGACTGTAATATATAATGTCTTCTTAAAGACAAACTGTTCAGTGTCTTTGAAATAATACAGTGCCCAGTCATGAGAGCATTTCTCTCCAGCAAAGTAGTCCTTTCTATTTGATTGTATTTCCATATATCTACAAAAATTCTGTAAGATCCGCATATCCGAAATATTGTTGGTATTCTTTGAAACATAAATGCTTTTTTCGTAGTTGTAAGCCTGAAAAGTTATTAGGAGTTAGAAGTTAATTAATTTTATTTTTGTTGTCTACTATGAAATTTTTAATATCGAGACATCTAGCGTAAAGAAATGTTTCTGTCCTACATAAAATACATATATTTTAATATTAGAAGCCATATTATTAATTCTGAGTCATTGGGCATAGCCTAGTACACATGTAACGCTAAATAAATACGTCGACGCTTCACAATCTCTATTGGCAAAATCAAAATTTGAATGCTTATCACTGATTGATTTTTAATGCTTATAGCAAGCAAATGTAATAAGTATGTATATGATGGTATGTAATTGGTGATAATGGAATTTTAAGCCTACATACTTAACTTGCAAAATATCTAGTGCCATTTAAGACTTCACTTAGTGATAAAACTTTTAAAAACTTTAATAAATATTTGGAAGCAATTAAAAATTAAATAAAGTTAACAAATCTTAAATACAAAATATTTAATTATATACGAAATAAATATTTTTTTCTTTGAATAAATTCGATTATCTGCTAAATAAATTCGTAATTTAGAAGCATAAGGTAGAAACTGAACACCTTTTCGGTGAACCACAAGCTCACGATTTCAAAATCGTATATATACATAGACATATAACTTAAACAAACACATCCATATGTATATATATACAAACATATATCTACATATGTATGCTTCAAAACAAAATGCGTAACGTAAAAAATCCACACCATTTGTAAACAATTAAGCTTTTTGATAAAACACAGACGCTCATGTAAGCAATATCTTATCTGCTGCTAAGTATATAAAGTTATTTAAGATTTATATATATGCTATTTTTCTATATAAACCATTAAACAAAAACTTCTCAAGATATTTTATAAATGCTTATAAATATATAAAAAATAATCAAAACCTCCACTATACCCAATGCGATTTCAACATTTGACCGCAATCAATATTCTCATTGAGAGCTCGCCAACACGTGTTTAGGTTTAAGAGCAGCACTGAGCATAAGTCATTTAGGAGAAAAAGCATGCGTAAATTGAAAAGCATGATGCAACTGAGCTGTTTGTTGCTATTAGAGAATTTACATCAGCCAAAAAGTTTGTGGCTAATAACAACAATTGCTCAAGAGAGAAAATGTAAATATACATACATTATTGGTTTGAAAACACAAATAATAGGAAACAAAGATAAAAGATCAAACGCTTGATTTCTAAGAAAAAAAATGAGAAAAAAAACGGAGCTATAATACCCTTTACAAATACAAAAGGTTCTTTAAAGTACTTGATTTTGACCAGTAAGTTTGTATGACAGCTATAGGTATGCTATGGTAATCCAATCTGAACAAATTCTTCGGAGATTGTACCGTTGTCTCAGACAATATTCCATGTCGAATTTCATGAAGATAACTCAACAAATACAAAAGGTTTCAATACAAGCACTTTATTCCGATCGTTAGTCCGATATTGGCAGTTCTGACAAATGAACAGTTTCTTGGGGATAAAAGTACGTGTGAAAAATTTCAGATCAATATCTCGAAAACTAAAGGACTAGTTCGTGTATATACATACAGACGGATGGACATGGCTAATTCGACTCAACATATCATGCTGATCATTTATATACCATATATATTTTATAGGGTCTTCGAAATTTCCTCCTGGGTGTTACAAACTTCGTGGCAAACTTGGGGTTATATATTCAGGGTAAAATAAAGTTCGATGTTTTTATTTATAGGCCATATTTTGCCACTCGTTTTTAGCGCAGATTTTGTTGTTGTTTAGATATGAAAACATATAATTGGATTGTGGATATATATACATATATTATCGAAGTAAAATTACAATCATTTTTTCGAGGTAAAATATTTCTACAATAAAAGTACAAAAATGAGCCAAACGCGTTTTCAGGTGTATGAAATTAAAATATTAATGAGGTCAACAGCTTTCATATTTCCATTATATATGCATAGAGTGTATGTATGTGTAAAAACTTTTTAAAGCTAGATAAATATATTATATATCTTATCAAAATTTGTTGTCACCGTGAAATAATTATATAATTAAAGCAAATCATTCTATCGCAAAAGGCATAACTACATATACATAACTGTATATCTAAATACGTCTTTGATTGTGTGAGCTTATGTAATAGTATTTATCTAGGTCAATGGTGGGAATATCAAACTTAAAAAAGTAAAAAAAAATTAATTATATCGTGAAAATAAATATCTTTAAGCTTTCTGGCGCTTGGAGCTATATATTTCTGTACATGAAAATAACTTAAAAGTTAATTACCAACCGTATTTAAATAAATTTTATTTTATTAAATTCGAAAACATTTTCAAAGGTAATACCAATTAGTGCGTATACCTAGTGTGAAATTAAAATATAAAAAAGCAAATCGATTTTTCAAATTTCGATAGACTATACCATTAAAAATAACCTACTAAATTTCTAAATCGGTATCTCAATAGCTTGAGTTATTTACTTAGTATTGTGTATTGTTGTCATTATAAACAGTTGGTATTTAATACCTTAATGCCTTTAAAGCTCAAACGACTGTATATTTGTTGAAAATATTTAGTGATTATGCTTCAACGCCTAAATGTATGTGTTTACATGGTTAATCCTTCGCGCAAGAAGTGACGAAGCATAGGGTGGTCAATGACATCAGCTACTAAAACTACGTATACAGATGTACATATGTATGTAAGTAAGCATGACTAAAAGAGCAACAAGTAGTTAAGAAAAACCCAGTAGCAGAATCATAATACTTTTTCTAAATTTTAAAAATAATTTTTTTATTCATGTTCTTGTATTTAGATTACCTTTGATTCAAAACTCTTATATTGATCTATTTAAATATTTTTGTTTATTACAACAACAAATTATTAAAATAAACAAATAGCATTTGCAAAGAAGAAGTTAAAAAACAATTTCATAATAAATTTAAAATCAATTTTTTTTATTTACTTTAAATAAATTTTTTTTTTGAATTATAAATTATAACAAAAATTTTTTTTTTCAATATTAATAAATTTACAATTTACACATTTTCATATCCTCATCATGGTATATTAGGTTTGACGCGAAGCTTGTAAAAGCCAGAAGAAAGCGTCGCAAACCCTATATAGTAAATATATATAAATCTGAGTGATTATTATCTAAGGTTATAATGTAATCTCTGAAGAAATTGTTCTCAACGGTTTCCTATGATATATACAAACTGACCGATCTTGTACGGAAAGTTTTTTATTTGTGAAGGATATTATTATAGCTGCAGTGCAGCCGAAGCTAACGTTTTTTCCTGTTTTAAATAATTTTAAATAAATTTTTTTTTATTATTGTTGATATGTTTTCTATTTTATTATTAAATTTAAATTATTATATATATATTAAAGCTATTTTGAATTCGGCCATGTGATATTATTTCTTGGTGTTAAATATTTGTGTATAAAAATCTTGCATGTCACAAGCAACACAATGTATTGCTTCAAAATTAACCTTAAAAAAAAATTTCGCCGGTATAAGTAAGAACAATAGATAAATAAATATGGTATACAGAAAGAAATAGTACTTTAAAGCAGTTGAATAAATATCGAACTGAATACGTGTTTCGAAATAGAATAACATAATGTAGAGAAACATATTGGCGGTAAAATTCGAAATGAAGCTTTTGATATACAATACATGTAATACATATAAATATATTATTTTATATTTGTTATTTTTTTGTATAGGTATTAGTGTCGACATTTTGATTTTCTTATCATTTCATTAGTCACTTTAATTAAACATAAAAATATTTACATAAACATTCTTAGAAATTTATAGTTATGCCATTATTATAATGAAGAGAGTGATTAAAGAGTTCGCTCATAACTTGCATGCTGAATTGTGCACATGTGCGACGTTGTTCTCTCTCTCTCTCTTCACGTACATATACGCGCGTTGCCAACCACTTGTACATTGAATAATTTTCATAAAAAGTATTGTGGCGAACACCAGATAGCAAGCAATAAATCTCCGCAGTTTTTGTTTTTAAACAGCTGCTACTACGAAATATTAGGTATATGAAATAAAAGAAAATAGCTTTCATTCGTTAGGTGTTTTTTTTGTATTTTCTGTGTAAGCTTACCATCGTAATGCATATATTTTTGATACCAACGGAAAGTAGTGATTTTAACGAAACAAAAACCCACTGATCTTTTTAAAAAAGCAAATATTTTGACTTGAGAATTTTTGATTGAAAATCAGCGTTCTTTTCCGATATTGGATCAAAACAATGTAAAAAAAATAAATATTTTAAGCCAAAATAATTTAAGCATGTTTGAGAAATTAAAAAGTGCCGTAAATTACGCAAATTTTAAGAGGGAAAATATTTGTTTGTTAAATATAAATATACAAAACCAAACACTTTTTGGAATTTTTCGCATAAATTTTTAGGTTATGTACAAAAGCGTCAACACAAAAGTTGTAGATTTGCTTATAATCGGCAATTTCGCCATTTAACTTCTTTCAACAGAACTTGTAGTTTTTCCGGCAAACCCTAAAAAACTTAAAAATCCTTTAATTTTTGTTATATTATCTTCCTTTTCCAATATTCATGCTACTACAAATATTATATTCTTAAAAGTTATTACCCTTAGTCTAAATAGTGAAAAATAAATGAATTTTTAAGCAATTTTAAACTTTTTGTAGCTTCCCAGCTCTGTTGCGGGTTTGAAATATTGAATCTCGTTTTACTGCGTGAATCAAATATATGCTATAGCGATCCTACCTAAAAGATACAAAAAAAAAAATTTTGCAAAAAAATTATCGCATAGAAGCTTCCTAAAAATATATTTTCAAATTAATATTCTCAGATCTCTCTAATAAAGTCAAAATTAAAGTTTGGAGAAAAGACGCAAATTGTCTGTGGAGTTTGAAAACAGAAGACTTAAGCAACAAACCAAAATTTATGTGCGATTTATAACATAAATGAGATGAAAAAAATGCTGATTAGTTACATAACGTTGCTATTTGGCTTAAAAAAGTGGAATAAATACAAATAAAATCGATTACTAATAAACTGTAAACTAGAAAAATATTTTCATTGCGCTTTTGATATATTTAATGTATTGTAATACTTTTATATTTATAAACAATAAATTTTTATTAACCGCTCACTGTTTTATGAAAATTTTCAGGCACAATGATACCGAAATCCGGCGGTGATTATGCCTACATTGGCACCGCATTCGGACCATTGCCCGCTTTCCTGTATCTATGGGTGGCGCTGCTGGTGCTCGTGCCCACCGGCAATGCCATAACGGCGCTCACATTCGCACAGTATCTGCTGCAGCCATTTTGGCAATCCTGCGACGCACCCATAGCGGCGGTACAGCTGCTGGCAGCGGTGATGACATGTAAGTTCATAATGAAACGCAGCAAAATCACATAAAATAACTGCTTATTTTTCGCTCTTTCTCTCTCACTCTCAGGCATTCTAACTGTCATCAATTGCTACAATGTGCGTTGGGTGACACGCGTCACTGACATCTTCACTGGCACTAAAGTATTTGCGCTGCTTGTTATTGTTGCCGCTGGCGCTTGGTATCTCTTTGCCGGACACACCGAACAGTGGGATGAACCGATGCGTGGCACCTACACAAAACCCGGCATGATAGCGCTGGCCTTCTACAATGGTCTCTTCTCGTACTCTGGTTGGAATTATTTGAATTTTGTCACAGAGGAGTTGAAGGATCCGTATAAGAATTTACCACGTGCCATTTGTATTTCCATGCCTGTGGTGACACTCATCTATGTGGTGACCAATATTGCATACTTTTCGGTGCTCTCACCGGAAGAGATGTTATCATCGGATGCCGTCGCTGTGACGTTCGGCGATAAGATGCTCGGCTTCATGTCCTGGCTGATGCCATTCTTTGTGGCCTGCTCTACTTTTGGTTCGTTAAATGGCGCCATATTTGCTTCGTCACGGCTCTTCTTCGTTGGCGCTCGTAACGGTCATCTGCCAGCGGCCATTTCACTCATCAACGTTAATTGTTTAACGCCAGTGCCATCGCTGATATTTTTGGTATGTGAGCTGTGGTTTGATTTATCTTTATTATTTCCTTCTTACTTCTATTTTTATCTCTGCTGTAGTGTGTCATTACCCTGGTGCTGCTGTTCATCAGAAACGTCTATTCACTCATCAACTACGTCAGTTATGTTGAGGCGCTCTTCACGCTACTCTCCGTGTCGGGCTTATTGTGGTTGCGTTATAAGCAACCGAAGACCGAACGACCTATTCGCGTCAATCTCGTGCTACCTGTACTATTCCTGCTGACTTGCTTATTTCTAGTGATCTCGTCCGTTTTAGAGTCACCCGTCGAAGTGGGTATTGGCACCGCGATTATACTCTCTGGCATACCGATCTACTACCTGACGATACATCGACCTGTCAAGTGGCTAACGGATCTGTCACAAGCGATAAATCTCTGGTGTTCGAAATTCTTTATTTGTATGCCGAATCAGGAGAAGTTCGATTAGTTTTTAAACTTAAAATACTAAATTAGTTTTATAATAAAATTAAGTCCACGAAAGCGACGAAATCATATACAAATTGTGACACTATCTAGGGATGCATATAGAACGTAGATGCTTTGTAGGGTATATTGTACAGCCGAAAAGATATATATTTGTAACTAAAAATACGGTGCCTAAAATAGATAATAGTTTCATATACGTGCCTTCAAAAAAAAAACAGTTTTTGAAAGTTAAAAGTCGTTTCAAATTGATATTGCTCGAAGTTTGAATAAAAATATAAATATCAAGCTTATATATTTGTATGACATTTGTACAAAAATAAACTCAAATATTATTTTTCATACGATTTAGAGTTTTATACTCATATAGGCTTAAAGTAAATATTTTTTAAATTTATTTCTGCTTCTAGCGAATGCGACTAATTTCTATTGTTTTTTCCACATATGTCTTCATAGAGAAATAATACCCGAAGGTTTATCCCAAAGCTACATACAATGTATAAAATATTTTTCAAAATATGATATTCTGCTAAGGGAAAGTAAGAACTGTTTAATCCGCGCTTTCACATGTAGCTTTCATAACAATATCAAGCTTTTTCTCCAGTCATTTGAATTTAGCAAAGCTTTTATCAGAGATACATTTAAAGTAATCTCAAAGTTTGTGCGCTTTCACGTGGAGCTTTTTCTCCAGTCGTTTTAGCACAACTTTTATCAGAGATACATTTAAAGTAATCTCAAATTTTTTGAGCCTTCATAAAGCTTTCGAAAAAGCTCTAGTCGGTTGAAATTGACAAAGGTTTCAAAGCTATCATAAATTTTTATTATTATAATTATAATTACGCGCTGAAACATTTAGCTTTCATAAAGCTTTCGACAAAAAAGCTCCAGTCATTTGAATTCGACAAAATTTTTATTAAAGATACAATGAAAGCAATCTTAAAGATTGAGCACTTTCACATGCAACTTTCATAAAGCTTTCGGCAGAAAAGCACCAGTCGTTTGAAATCAGTAAAGCTTTCACAAAAGTTAGATTAAAAACATTCGCAAAAATTTGACATTAAAGGCGCATTTAAATCCAACTATTTGCTTTCATCAAATATTGTTCTCTTCACTTTGTCATTCTTGCTTTATATTTTCACTGCCTTTCCTTAATTTTAGACAGCTTTAATAGGAATGTTCCTTCAGTAAATCATGTCTTGCTATACAATCCATCAACCATATTTTGAAATTCGAAATTTCAATCCCAAAAAATTTGAATATTGTTTATTTTCCGAACTATTAGTTATCATAAATTTCCAAAATTAAAATCTTTATCTTTAATATATAATTAGTAAAATATTTTTATCCAGGCAATAATTTCAACTCCACACATTCGCATGATGTGATTATATTTGTTTGTAAATATTGCAATTAAACTCAAAAAATAATTGTTTAAGGTTTAATTATATTTTAAGTAAGAATTAATAAAATAAAAAGACAAAATAAATAAAATGTTTATGTTATGAGTTGAAAATATAAATATAAATAATTAATCATTTAAGTAATAAAAATAAATGTTTATTATTATTTTTTAATAATTTCAAAAATAAACATAAATATAAAAACGTAAAAAATTAAAATATTTTGAAAATTGGAAAAATACAAAATGAAGTTAGAGGTAACATTCAAATTAATAAAAAGTAAAAGTAATGTAAATGGTTGTAAAAAATAAATAAAAATAAATTCACTAACTTTTACACCAAAATAATATAACTAAACAAATATTAATTAAAAACATCACATTAAATTAAATGAAATTAAAAAATATATAATAATATATACAAAAAATTATTTTTCAATTAATTTTCAAATTTAGTTTTAAGCTTTTAATAAATATTATATATTAAAAGCGCATAGTTTTGTTAAAATTATTTTCAAATTTATATATTGTATATGAGCCTTCAAAAATTATGTTTATCATGTAAACAAAGATTTGTTAATTGTGTAATATGTTATAAGCAAAACCTGAGAATCTTAATTTAATAAAGTTCATAAACATTTATATTAAAATCTTAAATAAAGACAATTGTTGGTTATAGTAGGACGAATAATGATAAATAATCGAAAAATTAATAATAAAATACACTTTTGGGGGAGTTAGACAACATAAGTAGAAGTAGTAGAAAGCTGTCAGGGTTGCACTAAAAAAAAAAAACATTTGGTCATTAAAATAAATATCAACTGCTCTATTTTATATAATAGGTTATATCCACTTGCCAGCCAGATGTGGTTACCAACTGGATAGAGAGAAATGGATTACCCATAAATCCAAATAAAACTGAGTTGGTTTGATTTACTGGGACAACCTGATATTAATATCTCCTCGTTGGGTGATTTACTTTTAGGAATTTATGGGTAATACAAAGGACGATTGTAATCAAAACTCCTATTTCTTCGTTCATTATATGAGAATTATATTTAAGAAGGTTTGGAAATCTCAAGTCGATCTGTCCAGCCGTTTCAAAGAAATTTTCTTCACCGACTCTGAAAACGGTGTTTCAAGAAAAACTTTAACTTAAAGTTTTAGGAGCCGATCGCACTAAGTTAAAATATAAGTATTTGTGGCTTCGAACTATTTTCCGTATCAACTTCAATTTTTCGGAGAATATTTTCAAATATGCACTTTCGATATAAAAGCAAAAAATTCCAATTTTTAAATTCAAATTCAGTGGATATACACCTTAAGTTCCTTACATATAGCACTTTTATCTTTAAACTATTCACTTTAGCATATAAAAAGATACTATGGTCACGATATATATAACTCGACTATATGCTTCGGATCGGTCATTGCCTTAAATACATAGATTCATACATACACCAAACTGTTTAGTTAAAACGTCTTTTCCAGCTCTTTTTTACAACGTATATATTATTCTACTTTTCTCTTAAAATGAGAACATTGCAAATCATTCTGATTTCTTGCAGTTACCGTTATCTCAAATTTTCACACAACAATACGCATATAAACATCAACAATTCGTGGGAATACAAACACGTATATAACACACTACAACAACGTGGTTTTACATTCACTCCCACAATATACATAGGGTAAATTATGACTTTTATCAGTTAAATGTTAAATAATATGAATAAAGTGATGTGAAAAATATACTTGTATATTTGCATTTCTCCTTATGATAGCGATAAGCAAATAGTGAAGAAGCGCTCTAGCCGATAGGCAAATATCAAACAGAAATATATTTAATTTTAATATATATTTTAGATAGTTCAAAATGCCATTGCAAATTTTGTATTTTAAGTTTGTGTATTAGTTGAGAATATTATATTTTAACCCAGTAGCTAAGCATTTGACGAATCAGTTCCAAAATCATTTTAATAAGCACTAGCGAATTTCAAATATAACTAAAATGTAATCTGCAATGAAATACTAGCTTTCGAGGGGTTTAAATTATTCCAATAAGAAAAAAGCATGTGAAATTCCAACATAAATGACTTTTATGAACAAGTGGAACAGTCTGTCTAAAGACAATTTCGGTTACGATAAGGGTAAGTTGTAATTCGTTAAAACCTAAAACAAAAACAAAACAAGAAAGGAAGCGCTAAATTTCGGTGCAACCGCAAATTTTATACTCTTGCAACTTGCAAGAATCAAACCTGGAGAAATACGTTCAGGTGTGGCAAAACTTTGTATTTAAAAATATTGTGAAAGAATTAAATTTTCGTTATTCGACGAAATCGTGATTTAATTACAATTAAATTTGGAATTTTATTAAGCTATATCATAGATCAGAGACGCAATTGGTTTTATAACTATATCTCAAAGAAAACATATATGACATAAACTTTATGATTTCTGAGTTTCATTAAAGTACCTTACATATGTTACCATCAACAATACCGTGGTCCATATATTATGTTTGTTACCTGACGGTTTGAACAGTTTTGGTCTGATTTGGGTAATTTTTAGTCATTAGCTGGCACCCTTCAAAAGCAGTACTCTTTTAAAGTTTTATCACAATATTACATATGACAGTTTTATATCTTTGTTTAGTGCTTAGTTATGACACTTGATAAGTTTTGGTTAGATGGCGTTTTGTGGGCGTGGCAGTGGTCCGATTACGTTTATCTACGAACTCGTCTTTCCGTTTTTGCCAAGGAACATATGCTCCGGTATTCGACTTTGCCATAAAGCTGCACTAATTAAGCAGCTAAGCGCGTGACTGACAAATCGAACTACTTACGCGCGTTTCGAACAATTACAATTTGAAATTTACTGTTAACAAATTAGTATTAATTTCAAAATAAAGATGCTAAAAATGCAACAAATAAACGCCTCAATAGTAATCCTTTTGTAAATATTATATATTATTCATGCAATATATAAATAGAGGTTGCTCATACGTCCCCGCCAACGATGACGCAATAACCATAATGTGCTTTAAAGCTCCCATTTATAAATATAGTTAACTGTCACTGTAACGTTGACATAAGCTTTCACTCAATATTGATAGCAGAAGCTAGGCTAATACCGCTTCATCAGCTTCTACGAAAGTCAACCACATATGGCGCGCAAAGCTGCGCAGCCATTCGCAAGCAAGCAACTCGTTACTTCCAGAGATCGTCTCTATGTTGATATGTATGAATGTGTTTGTGGAAGCCGATCGCTAAACAAACTCGCTACTGACTTAAAATAGCGCGTTTCGAGACCTAAACCGTTTAATAGTCCGTCAACCGTTCAACGGTAAAGCGGTTCAACGAAGCGAGCGCGTAAAATAGCAAACGTATGAGAAGTGTAGTGAATTCGAAAAAAATAACAAAAACAAATTGTGTAAATACTTATATAGCAACGGTTGTATGTTGTAAGTGACAGTGACAGCGGCTGGAGTGCGAGTCAAGTGCGAACGTTCAACGGTTGAATTAAAAAAAATTAAGCGCAGCTTTTGTTGTGACACAAACAAAGTCAGACAACACCAAAAAGCGACACGAAAAATTCATAATTTCCATACAAAAACGATAATATTCCAGTTAATTGGCGTGCAGTAGGAAATTATTGTTGCCCAAGCGTGAAATATGTAAGTGTTGCGAATGGCTAAAGAAAATGTGGTCAAAGATGTAACAAAACGAAACTTGGCGAATTTGTAAGCGAATAATTAAATATACAGTGTAAAAATTTTGGACAAAGCATATTTTTTAAGAAAAACAAGCGCTTTGTACGGAGTGTGGGTTTTTGAACGATATAAAAATACAATATTTAATACTTCTGTAAACTTACAAAAAATATGAACATATGAAACACATGTAAACTTATAACAAAATATGGACAAGTGAAACACGTTATTATTTCGACATTTGAGAAGCTAAAAATCATAGTTTGAAGCAAAACGAAATATCTTTATTTTTATAAAGTTCTTTTTGCAAGTTTTTGTAGCAAAAACACATTTTTGAACTTAAAAAAAAAAACATTTTTATTGCCGTAAATCACTAATACTAGAATTGCAAAACTTGCGGATATAAAAAATGGCTTCATTCACTCTTGCACACATTTTTGCTGCAATTTTTATTTGCTACCTCTGCGGCACAATACAACAAGCTCATGCTGCCACAGAATATAACCGTTATTTGGCGCATATTTTTCAAAAGTATGGCACTGGTGGTACAATTTCATTCGAGGTGAGTAGCAAAATGTTAATTTTTTTTTTAAAGATAAGTATGCTTAAAGTAAATTTGAAAAATATTTGGTGTGTTTCTTATTAATTTTTAAAATAATTTATTAATCTTCATATATAATTTAGTAATTATTATATAATATATAAATTATAATTATATCTCCAATAATAAAAAAATTGTAGTTTTAAAAATGGTATTTTTTAACAGAAATTTTGATTTTTTTTTTAGAATATTTTGAAATACAACATTTTCGAACTACTTCAAAAACGTAAAAATTAATAAAATATAGCATTTACTTTTACTGAAATGAAAAATATAAAGCGCTAAAGACCCACAAAGGCTGCTACTGTCAATGACCTGCGTCTGTAACGCTATTATTACTTAAAGACTGAAATAAAATATATCACAGCATATTGCTTATTTAATGAATAACGGCATAAGGCAAAATTTATTTGTATATTTTACAAATAGCTTATTTGCAATATAAAATATATACATAAGACTTTTTAGAGAAGTTGAAGTCATTTACAACATTTGTAGTAGGTAAAAAATTTTTTATATGACAAGTTTCTTCGCGTATTAATTAAATATTCTACCCCAAATAAATAATTACTTGCATAAATTTTGCAATATGGCTATATCGACCAGTGTTTAAATAAAAAGAATTTATATTCTTTCCGAAATTGTTTTTCAATAAATATTCGCAGATATTATTAACTTTGTTGGCACAGCATTTTAAGCAGAATTTAGCCGCAATTCTTTATTGTTTGTTACTTTTTCTTAAACGTGCTTTGTAAATATAACATTATTTTAATTTTTTAAGATTTTCATTATATAATGAAGTTAAACAAACTTGCATGTGATAATGAATAGCGTCAATACAATGATTCCGCAAAGCTGAGAATCTACAATCAGCTAGTGTGAGTTAAAAAACAAAAAAAAAAAAGACAGCAATGGTTGCAGGAGCTTTCTTGCTTTGCGCATACAACAAAGAAAAATAACAGTTTTTTAACTCAGCCTTCTAAAAACAAAAAAAATTAAGAATATGGATTTTTTGTAAAATTCAAAATCTTAAGTTTTTGTAAAATTTTGAATTTATTATAAAGCAAAAAAGAAACTCTATTTTGTTCAAAAAATTTTAAAATATGACAATTTTGAAATTTTCTTTTCTTAATTTAAATATATTAAACAGCTTTCTAAAAATAAAAAAATATGAATTTTCATTTTATTATAAAAGTAAAACTTTGTTTTAATATTAGCTAAAACTAAAAATCAAACTTATTCCTATAATCCTCAGCGGTATTTTGTTAAAATGAAGCCAGGGTTGCAACTAATGCATTAAAAAATAATTGAATCAACTTTAATTAAATTTTTATGGGATCACCAAAATTTACTAAAAATTATTTTCAAATTTCTAAAGTAATTTTCAAACTTAAATACTGGATTTAAAAAGAGTTAATCCAAAGTTTCTAGTTAAAAATTAAAAAAAAATTATAATTTACATTTTCTTGTATTTGCGTAATTTGCGTATAATAAATATAAATTTTCAGTTTTAATTTCGATTTTGTATTAAAAAGTAAATTTTTAAATTTTAATCTCGATCTTACAATTAAAAATTGAATTTTAAACTTATGATCTCAAACAAAAATAGTTCTAATTTTGGGAATAGAAGTTTAATTTTTAATTTCGATCTTAAAAATTTAGATTTTAATAAATTAAATTTAATTTAAACTAATTAATCTTGATTGATGAATCAAAATTTATAACTTTTATAATTGATTTTGTTTGAAATTAAAACTCGAAAATTTAATTTTAATCCGAAAAATGTTCACAACCTTGGTAGTAACAAACAATTTTTGAAATTCTTTCTTAAAATTATATAAGCCTAATATTTATAATTTGAACTTTTTTTCTTCAACTGATCTTCTCTAAAAAAATACTTGGGCTCCAGTCAAAACTCAGTATAAAATCATTATTTAAATAATTTAATTAAGTTTTAATTCGAAATTTCTTATTTAAAAAATTCGCAACCTTAGTAGGAGCAAACTATTTTTTAAATTTGCTTGCTTAAAATCATATAAATATTTTAACTCTGTTTTCTTCAACTGATCTTCTTTAAAAAAATATTATGTGCTCCAGTCAAAGCTCAGTACAAAATCACTTAATCCGTTATTAGTATTCTATTCTAAAAATAGAAAATTTTAGAAGCTTTCACTATAAATTAATATGAATAGCAGTCTACATTATCTAAATCATATAACCGAGAGACCTATATGAATGTATTTACACAACTTTACACGACATATAAAATATAGTAACATTTCCTTTATGCAATTTCCCACTTAATCCAACCGACACATTTTAAAATCACTATCGCACATGTCTTCTACAAGAGTCCAATGTTGTCGTAATGAGCAAATAATTGAAGAAAAAGACTGACAGTCAGATAAATCGCGACATGGATAGATACAAGCTCATATTTAAGTTATATACAACCATCTATATACATATATGTACAATAGATGTCTTCATAAAAGTAGACAACACGCTGTGGCGTTGACTACTTTAAACGTTTGTGTACATATACATATATATATATACACCTCTTATCAACGCCAACTAACTAACTGGCTCTTTATCTCACATTCTTTTCACTTGATTTCCATATAAGCGCGATCTCAAAATGACAGCACAACGTGCAACAAGTGTTTAGCAGTGCTATCTTAATCTGCTTTATTATAATTTTTGGGTTTTTTTTTTGTTGTTGTGTATAAACTTATAGACATACAAACATGTAGGCATATACATATGTATATTTAATTTCGAGTTTGTTTATTTTATTTATGACAGTAGATTTGTAAAAGTGTTTTAAAATTATTATGTCGCGTTGAAAAAGAAATGAGATCACATTATAAGTTAACACTCGAGTAACAGTAAGCACATAAATAGTTGAAAAGACATAGCTAAGTTCTGCAACAGGTTACAAAAAAACCAATATTTGAATATACTTTCCACATACTTTTCTTATTTTCTCCTATTTAGCTTTTAAATCATTAAAACATTATTATGCATATTTAATATTGAACTCAACACTAGCTGATAACTGGTGCAATGTTCGGTATTAAGGGCATCGTGCATAAAGCCAAGCCGCGGCAGTTTGTTGCCTGTCAGTCAGCTTTCTAATCAAGTTTAATTAGCCGATTATGATTTATTTACATAAACACGTGCATAGATCTTGACATTTATAGCATAAGATTAAGCTATAATTTATATAAAGCTGCCGCTACTTATCAGTTTTAATTTCCATAGTCACATAAAGGTAATTATGTTCTTAAAAAATGTTCACGAAGTGTCATTTAAGTGAAAATATAGTTAGATATGATCAATATTTATTTAGAAAAAATGTTGTAAATACTTGCTACACCTGTTTCTATGGAGAGTTTACGATTATCAAATAAAACATTTCGGTATATTTTTGCTTTTTGGGTCAGATAAGTATTTCTTTTTCTTCTTCTTTACTGGCGTAGACAGATAAATCTTTAGCTCTATGGAGATTTTAAATTTTAAAGGTGAGTGAAATTATTTGATTATAATTTATGCATTTTCTTGCAATGTAGCGTCTCCATAAAATAGAAAAAGTGCTTAAAACTAAATTGCTTCCTTATTTTTCTCGTATTCTAACGCAAACTAAAACATAAAAATAAAAGGGCCGATTGGTTCCAAGCCTTTAGCAATTTTATAAAGCTTTTTGATAAGGCTAAACGCTCTCTAGTCAGAAATTTTTATTTTAAAAATTATATAATATGATAAAAAAAACATAAATATCTTTGCAATAAAATATATTACTTTATGCACGTATAATAATATTCGTTGTAAATGCTAAGAAACCGCTGAATTATTTATAGTTACATGTATTATTACTCATTATATTTGCATTAAACTTACCTTACGCTTAAAAAAAAAACCGCTAACCTAATAAAATACAAATTTCACAACACGAAAAAGTTCCCCATTTAAAAAAGCAAATATTAATAAACGTGCTATTCAAGTCAGTCATCACATCATCCCATAACAGTATTTTAGTTAGAAACTGAATTAATTATTTCTGACTCAGTTTCGCGTTTTTCTAAACACGTTTTTTCATCACTATTAAATTGGCGTTTCGTAAACAAATTTTTTGCTATATCTATGGCAAGTAAATGTTAAAATTATTAATAATGGGGCGGCAGTATTTAATAAGTAATTAAAATTTACGGACTCACATGTATGTTGTATTTTCTGCTTATATGTAAATTTTTATGTGTCAAAATGTAGCTTAAAACTAAAATTTTTGAAAACAATATTAAAGTAAATATTTAAATTTTGAGTAAGTATTTACAAAATATGTTTATATATAATTGTGCAAATATTCATTTTAAACTAAATTCTTTCAAATATTTTATAAAAAATATTCACTTTGAAATCAGCTCATTCATGCGTAGGATTTCATATTCAATAATTTTGCCTTCTATCAACACCACTAAATTTTATTTTTTAACTAAAGAACACTTTTACTTGCTCACGAGTCTCGCTTCTGTGTAGTGACTCTACACATCATGCTTTACCACAAATATATTGTATGTTTTCTTGCTAATTGCAGCATAACATTTTCCGCAAAGTCTCCTGCATCACATTTTCTCACTTAAGTATCGAAACTCAACAATAATTCACTCGCAAGTGTTCCTTATTTTATTTTACTCGATTTACACACATTTATTCGCGATGTTTATCACTAAGCGAAATAGTCTCTTTAACGCTGTTATTGCAATGCATGCGAAAGATATTACCAACACAACTTTTTGGTTCGATACTCCATTTGCTTTTTCTGCGCAGCATATGCACACTCGTATATGCTCGTGCATACATAGCTGCAGCGCAAGTTGGCTAGGTTCTGCCTCTGCTTGCGCTAACCGCAGCTGCGCACATTCTTTTCACTTACACAAGATCTCACTAAAAACATTGCA